TTACCTAATGGCGATCCTGCAGAAATAGAAGTAATTGAGCAATTCGGTGGTTGAAAGTAAAAAAATGTATGTAAATTCCATGCGTTGAAATTAACAATTTCCATTGAGGATTTCCATTTTATCGGTAGTGATCTCATTTTATGTAATTTATTTTCATTAATATGAGCTGACCTATATAGTGTATTACATTATTGTTTTCATCTTTGGCAAAATAGTAGCGCATTGTCAAACGAAAACCTTGCAAATAAATCCAAACATGAAAGATTGAAAAAAATCAACAAAGTTTCATCACAGTTTTTGTTCAGAATTTGTAGACATGTTTTGGGTTAACATTTTTGTAGCCTATTCATTCTAGTATAATAAGGAGCAAGTTTGAAGTGTCAAAAAAATACCATTGATTTTTTGAATTTTTCTTTTTGCACTTTCTTCCATATAACGAATGTTCTCATTTTATTTTATATGGATGAAAATGCGCGTGTTGCGTTGCTGTTTTTTATTTCAATATTTTAAATTAAGCTTTACTTGTATAGTTTTTGTTAGACAATGATAAATAATATAATAAATAACCCAAACCAGGTGTCCTTAGCATTTTGTCGCGGGGTGTACTTTTAAAAATGTGAAATATAATTTAAGAATTTATTTGTGTATAATTTAAGTTAAACTCTAAGCTTAATGAAACTTAGTTTAACTTAGTGGGACTTTCTGACAAGGCNCTATCTCGATCATTTAAACATCTCGGACTCGCCCACCACTAAAAATGATTATTTAAATCTAAAGTATATATTAAATGATATTTAATATTTGCTTTAGAGATGAAATTTCGACAAATTTGTTTAAACAAAAATGTTAAGCGCATATGCAAAATGTGGAAGCGAGATTCTTTTGCTTGCGTTTCTATGTTTTTATCATTTATCAGTTTAAGCACATACGATTAAATGTAAAAAAAAAAATATTTTTAATTGCGGATCCGAAAGAAATATTTATAGTTATATAGTTACGCAAAAATAGTGCCGTAAATCAATCGATTGTGCTGCTGCTTCCGCAAGGGCCGAAAATGGCACAATGCACACTCATTTTCCATCACTGTCACACATACAATCTCACTATTCTGCTGACTTCGTTTTCCCCTTCCGATAACTTTTTGCTTCCGCGCTTGCCTAGCACCGCTGTGCAAAGCTTTGCACGCATAGTCGCCCGCGACACATATGTGCTGATTTGGGCATCCCTAATGTAAATGAATCCGTAAAAATATCGGGATCCCGAAGCCGTAATCCCGGGATTGAATGCCCTAATATATACGTAGTACGCTATGGCGACCCGCCGTTTGTTTATGAATAAAAGTTAACTGTTTCGTAATGTTAGGGATTATTTTTTCATTTGTATGAGTAGTTTTTATTATTTTTTTTTCATTGCGTAATTTGTATACAAATTCTTCGTTGATAATATGATCACTTCGTTTGAGGAGATGTTGCAAACTCTTTTTTCATTTGAACTGTGCGGCTTTTGGATGAGTGGAAACATTTAGAAAAATTTATCTAGTAAAGCTTTTCCAAACACTATTCGTTTGGAGCCAATTATGTTATTTTTCATTTAGTTTCGATATTTTAGTCTTTACTTTTAGATATGTAGGTGATAATCTTATTGAAAATATTAACATATAATGTAATGTAATGTAAAGTACCATTTCATTTTATTTTATCAATTTACCAAGTTAAATTTTGCAAACAGGTTGTGGCCCTCCTCAAAAATATTTTCGGCTGTAAATCTTCTTAAAACTCTTTAGTTTGATATCCACGTTGCTATGTTTCATTTATTTAATTACTTTAACTAAATTAAAAATTTTAAAGAGCTGGCCACCCTCTTCAAAAGTATTTGCAATAGTCATCTTTCTCAAGCCTCTTTAAAATTATACCTTTATTGTAATATGTGGTTTATTTTATCAATTAAATTTAGTTAAATTTTCAAACAGGTATACCGACGGCTGTAAGCATTCTTAAAAATACAAAGTTTGATACAAACATTGCAATATTTAATTTATTTTATCAATTTAACTGAGTTAAAATTTTCAAATAGATGGCAATTCTCAAAAATATTTCCTTCAGTTATCTCTCTTAAATCTCTTTAATTTAATATCTATGTCGCAATATATCATTTGTTTTATCAAACCTCTTAGTTTGATACCCTTATTCTAAAATTTTCAAGTAGGTGGCAGGTGTCATATTTAATTTATTTGATCAATGTAACTTAGTTAAAATTTGTAAAAAGGTGGCAACCCTACTAAAAATATTTCCAACAGTAATCGTTCTTAAACCTCATTAATTTGATATGGGTATATTGTAATATTTCATTTGTTTTATCAATTTAATTGAATTTAAAATTTTCAAACAGGTGGCAACCATCCAAATGCATTGTAAATGATCCTGGTATTATAGCGAACAGTTCAAAAAAAAAATTATTCAGATCTATTTAGCCGTTCTCCAGTTTTGAGGCCTGTTACAAACGAACACAACATTTTTATACATCTGTGGTCATGAGCAATAATCGCCCAAGTCGAAAAACCCAAATTCGAGAAAAAACGCTTTAACGATTTGGATTGTAATGTTACTTTATGAGGAAACCAAAATATTTTCACCAATAACTTTTGAAATAGCCTAGCTAACGAGATTGGAGTTTCGCATACACATGGAATAGTAGTTGCAGAAAACGATAGCATATATAACTACTGTGGCCAACCGTACTTCTTTCGGAAGTACAGTACTTCTTTTTGAACCGTTGTACTTCGTACTTCGAAGTACAGTGAAATGTGCTTCTTTGCAATGCTTTATACTACCCAAGGTACATTGAACAGGTAGTATCAGTACAGCAGCTTATTTAATTTTTTTTTTTCAAATTATCCGGTCTCTAAAATGTCAAGTATTTTTAATTTCTTCTCATAAAAAATATATGTAAATTATAAAAATCTTTATGCATGAAACCTCTTCCCATACAAAACAAGCGATTGAAAAGCAAAGTTTGGGACGTTCACCTAACTCTGCAGCACAAGCGCTGATTACTGCGCAAACAAAATTTACTAAGAGAGGAAGTCGCACCAATTTTTTTCCAAATCTAATGTTTGATTTTTACTCAAAATCAGAACAGTTTTTGACACTTTAGACAGAGAAGGTATATGAGTATTCATATACGTTCTTTGGTTTAGATAAGCAACAACAAAATACACATAAATGTTGTTTTTGCTCCAATACCTGTTTGATATGCCTTGGTTCTTCCTTTTAAATTTAAATTTCTTTAACTGTTTCGAAAAATTTCAAAAGGTTAGTCATCTTAGTTAAGAAAGGTACTCATAGATCAACACATATGTAAATAATGACTTTCAATCACTTTACTTCTCTAGCTAACAAATTTCGTTATAAATGGCTACTCAGTTAAGAAGAATTAAAAGGTGTTAGAGAGTTTAAAAAGTCGGTGGCGAATCTTACTTGCTCCTGTGGATATTCAGAAACGACAGTATCGATGCCACAGTAAACATTTTCTTATCCGGGCAACATATTAATCGTTTCCTTATTAACTGTCGTACAGTGGTTATTTTTTGGACACGGAATTGCTTAATCCTTCACGTTTTTTGATTACTTACACCAGGCTGAGGTTGAACGACGCATTCGACTCAATTTTCATCTCGCGAAATAGACTCTTATTGTACTTATCTTAATTTTTAAGTCTAGCGAGTGTTCTCGACCTTCTCTAACTCGCAAAAGAAATTTGAAATAACCTCATATTTATTTAAAACAGTGATTTTTTTAAGTTCTCCAGCATTTTAAAATCATATACATATGTAAAATTTAAAATAAATATATTAAATTGTTCAAAAATATTGTTCCCAACGTACCAGCGGAGTCCGATAATAGACCGAAAAGGGGCTTTACGGTTTTTAAAATGTTCTTAATTTAGTTTATGATTAATAAGTATTAAAGTGTTTTCATCTTTTTGTAGAAAAAAACGCTCAATTAAAACCTGACATAAAAACGGAAAAATCCTGAAGTAAATCAAAAAATATTCTTTTGTAATGAAACCGAAACATCAACATTAACATGAACAACACTCATTGCAAAAGAATATTAGACCTCCAATGATAGCTTCAAGGTTAGTCCTTTTATTAAAACAAGAAAAAGGAAAGGTGTGTAAAAAAAATAAACCTAATGAGTAATAAAATTATAACTTAAAAAACCAACAACACGCTTTTATTACAATAAGGACTAAAAAGAAAACAAGTAAGAAAGTCTAAGTTCGGGCGGAGCCGAACATTAAATACCCGGCGCAAGTATTAAATATATGTTTTCCACCTTTCCGAAAGCTACCGCTACATGATAAGCCGGGGTGTATACATTTTAAGTAAATTAGCGTCCTTAAATTTCGAAATATTGAAATTTCAAGCATATCTGAAATTTACCGTTATATGAAAAGCGGCCTCAATTTTAGTCCGATTTCAACAATTTTCAACGGTTTGCTTTTATGTGGCAAGCACAATAACCATACCGAGCTTGGTACAAATTGCTAGAACGGTTAGCGAGATACATATATGTGATCACAAGTGGGCGGTGCTACGCCCATTTTCCAAAATTTTGTCATAAACGTATTTCTTGGTAAAGAATTGTTGCAACCATCAATTTTGAATAAATTAGCTTCAATATTTACTGATTTATCGAAGATTTTGTATTTCTCGAAATTACCGTTATATGGGATGTGGGCGTGGTTATTGTCCGATTTTAAAAATTTTCGGCCGTTTGATATGCTGTGCCAGGGCTAACAACTGCGCCAAGTTTGGAAGAAATCGGTGCAGCGGTTACCAAGATATATACATGTAACCATAAGTGGACGTGCCCATTTTCCAAAAAATTTTAATATTCTTATTTGTCGTCTAACAATCATTGTAAATATCAATTTTGAGTGAATTATCTTCAGTAGTTACTAAGGTATCGCAGTTTTCGTATTTCTGAAAATTACCGTTATATGGGAGGTAGGCGTGGTTATTGTCCGATTTCGCCCATTTTCAATAGCGTCCGTCCTATGCCCAAAAGAAGTGCACGTACCAAGTTTCGTTAAGATATTTTTACTCGAGTTATCATGTGCACAGACGGACGGATGGACGGACGGACAGACAGTCACCGCTTAATCGATTTCTCTTTTCATTCTGATCATTTATGTATACATTTGTCTATATCTATCTCGATTCGTTTTGCCTGTTACAAACAACCGTTATGTGAACAAAGTTATAATACCCTTGTGCACAAGTGCGCTCGGGTATAAAAATTATTTATTGATTTAAAGATTCGTTAAATAAGGATATGAAGTTCCCTAACTTGATGCTATTTAACCTTTTAAACTAGCGTAAAATAGGACTAAAGTAATTGGCACGTAGTCATAGTCGAAATAAAGTCCACAGGAAAGTTAGTTGCAGTTATTTTTTACAGGCATCCCATTGGAAGAGGGATTCGGGGGTACGAATTTGTTGTAACAGCAGGAGTTGAAGACTTGCTCTAGCTGCTAGTCTCTCAAAATGTTTAATTCTGCCATTTCCTGGAATGGATTTTCATGATTTCAAACCTTTAGTAAAGTTAATATGATTTATTCATATTGTTTTTGTTTTTTACACACCCTTCCTCTTTAAAAAATATACAATTTCATAAAATTTCAATGTCTATTTATCATATTGCTCTAGCGTTAGACGATCTAGGGTCCAAACGCATAAGTGGCCCATTACGCCCATTTGGGTACTTAAAGTTGACAGTATAGCACAGTGCGTAGGCAACTGGCTGAGTCAGTGGGATCGTCGGTTCGAATCCTACTGAAAGAAGTCTGATGAGGAAATATGGTGATTTCCGAAATAGCTATCACTTCTACCATTTTTTCAAATTATTGTTGCTTTTCCGCAATAAGTTTTCATTAAAAAACGGCCTCGAGCTCAATAAAAATTGTTGAATATAATTGTTATAAGGCCATAAAATAACAAAAACAAATAACTTAAGGATGAGCCCACCTAAAAATTAAACATTCTAATAATAGAAAATATTAACAAAAACCAACAACCACACGATCAAGTGAATTGCAGCGGAATAGCTGCGCTTAATTGTAGTTGGCTTAGCAAGTGAAATATTGGATATAAGCAACAAGAATTATAAAGGCGAACTTAGCACAGTGCGTAGGCAACTGGCTGAGTCAGTGGGATCGTCGGTTCGAATCCTACTGAAAGAAGTCTGATGAGGAAATATGGTGATTTCCGAAATAGCTATCACTTCTACCATTTTTTCAAATTATTGTTGCTTTTCCACAATAAGTTTTCATTAAAAAACGGCCTCGAGCTCAATAAAAATTGTTGAATATAATTGTAATAAGCCCATAAAATAACAAAAACATTGCACAATGTACAATTAAGGCCCATAATAAGACGGAAGAAATACATTATTTTCATTAAGTTGCGTTAAAAGGTTTCCAAGATACAGCACTTTAAAGAAAGGTATGTATGACGTTTTCTTAAAATTTAAGTCCAGTGTAAATAGGCAACCCTACGTCATATCGGCAAAATATGCTGCACGTATATTAACCTTCAAGCCTAGGCCTTCAATCTCTTCAACTTTCATCCAAATCCTTAGAGGTCGCGCACAGAGGTGCCCGCGGTGACATGAAATGCCTCATAAGTTACAATGACCAGCTAATATTTTCCGATGGTTTTTAAAAATTTGTTTTCCGCCGGTCATTTTTGTTTTTTTCTCGTTTAACAATTGCCTTTTATAAAAACTGGCGTTGGCTTTTTTAATTTTTTTTGTGAACAATCATAGTGCATAATAGTGTCCGTTTTTTCTTTTTATTTCCTTATAATATTTAAGCAATCAAAAATTTCTCACTACTCCAGTAAAATAAGTTTTGAAAAGAGTACGAAATGTTCGCTTTTTATCGCTATGCATAAATGTGCGTATACATAAAAACTGTGCCTTAAAGCTTTCGAAACTTAATGCAATAAAGTAGACTACACCTTTGGAATGAAATTTATAATAAAAAGATAGCTACGAAAAATAAAGCGGGAACAAAATACTTTAACAAAAATCTTCAAAAATATAAAAAAAAATTACCTTTTTACCAACCTAAATTTTTTATACCAATTTTAGTAACAATTTACCAAAGTGGCAACCCTGGTAGCAATGCTTTACTTAATGTAAAACTTTAAAAACTTTTGCATGGAAATATTTAAAAAGTGGTCTAATGATTTTTAAATCTGAAATGTTCATGCAAAGTTTCAGATCGAGCACTTTAATTTGATACATGACTTGTCTCTGTGCGATAAATAAATCGCTAGGAATAAGCGCCTTATCTTAGAATAATAATTAGTATAGATTTTTAATTAATAAAATTTATTTGCTGAATTTGTACAATGTTACCGTTTCTGTATATTCTGCTGTTAACATTTTCTAATTACTTTCATACTATGTAGGGTTTTCAGTTTCTGTACTTCTTTGAGCTATGAAATAGTTAGTCACATTATATATAACTCAATTCTTTCTTAAGTCGACTTAGGCAGTTATTGCTTATGAACACAGATATATAGATAGAAGATGGGAGGTGCCACGCCCTTGTTTACAATACCGCCCATTTTTCTCCATGAGTATGGAATTATTTCATATATCTCTATATCAATTTCCGGTACTCTACACTGAGGGAAATAATGCATAGTAAAAATTAATACTTTATATTTGATTATCGTTTAAAAATGTTCGTNTTTTTTTGTATACGTACTTATTTATTGAATCTTTCTTTCGAAACTAAAAATAAGTTTTCAATTCTTACAAACTATCATATTTAAAATTTCTGCGGCAATGCTTAGAATTTTCATTTTTTTGCATATATATTTATTAAAGTTGTTGCGGCTGTCGGAATAGACAAGATACCGAGAAGCGGGATCGCTAGATATCATGCTGAGAAGGCGGTCTGAAGAGCCACACTACCTGGACGGGTGGAAAAGACTACATTCCACGCCGGGCCTTCATTTCTTTACATTTAAGCAACTGCAGCCCAGTGGGCTGTTTTCGGTCGGAAAGGACGAGTTTCAAATCCGAAATTGATATATTTCTGATATCCAAATTTATTACATTGCGCATCTTCTTGCATATATCGCGCTAAGAAGATCTCTCGCTAGTTGTTCTAGAGGCTACAACAACTCCGCCCAGATCGGTTGATATCTCAGTCGTTGTCGTCTCGCTAGTCGTTTTGGGCGGTTTATTAACCGTGTTGAGTAACTGGTGCTTAGCTTTCTTATGTCCTTGAGCACCGTATTTATATTAAGATCTGTGTGGATATTCGTATATTTTATGTACCACGGTGCATTAGAGCTGTTAAACTATTGACAGTCATCCCATTCGATGTTTTTGATGGTTTGCATTGAAACTATCGATAGTATCGGATAATTTTAAACTGCATTGACGAAACTTTTTCGGTTTTGTTTAGTTCCTGAAGAATTAGCTAATTGTTATATAGACAGTCCGACTGATTCCCAATTTTTGGCCGATGCCGATTAATCGGTCTTAGAGCAAAGAATCGGCCGATGCCGATGCCAGTTCCTTAAAAAAAAATACCTATAAATTAATTCAAGAACAAATGTTACTGATAAGTTTTTATCATGGTGAAATTATAATAAGGTGTTGTCACTTAGGGGGTGGTTGTTGTAATTTTGACAATTTCGGCATACCAGCGTTACAGTAATGCCTACTCTATTCATCCCAATTTCATTTCTTGGCAAAATGGAACAAAAAATGGAGCAGACAATTTTGTAAAAAAATTATGCGTATGTATCACTTACTACGTTTATACGCACGTCTTATTTGTAAATAACAATTTACAAAATGGTAAACTTTGCCGTATAAACGCTGCAAACGCTTTGCAAATAACTAAATCACGCAAATAAGGATTGATTAGTGGTATTATTTGCAAATAAGTGCAAGACGCCGCCATTCTTAGGTTTATTTTCTTTTTCGATGGTCTTCTTATTGCCTTTTAATAATCAAGACGTTGCCATTTTTAACTTTATTTTCTTTTTCTATGGTCATATTATTGCCTTTTTATAATCAGGCAATATTAAAAAAGAATTTTTCACCATCCAATAAACAGTGAGTTAGGTATTTGCAAATAATTTTTATTTGCAAATAGCTAACGTATAAACGTAGTAACTGTTTCTTTGTGTCGCTTTTTCTTTGACTTTTCGTTTAAAATTCATTGGAAAATTAGAGCTATAATTTTCAATAATTGCGATTTTGTAAGTAAATTTTTGATAAAATATATACTATACATACGATAATGCACTTTGGTCGAACAATTTAAACGCATAATTATTTTATAATATAACTGATAGAATTCAGAAATTCAATTTTAAAATGTTAACGAAAATAAAGGTCGTAATAAAATTCCCTTTAAAGTTGAGATATTTAAAAACTAAGTACGCATATACATGTACTTCCGAACTTAAGGAAAAAATACAAATAAAATTCCATACGGGCTAATATGTCATTTTTAGTTGTTTAAAAATTAAATAAAGAGAATGGTATAATTTAATTTGTTTTAATATGAATAAATGAAAGACGGAAAATAGTCCTTATTTTTTAAGTACTAACCATCATCATATGTGTGTGCTGCGACCGTGTGGCCTTGAAGTTTTACAAATAATAATTTTAAGGTAGAAAAATATAACTGAATAAGTAATAATAATTTCTTTTGAGCGAAAAAATTAAACTGTAATTACACTGGTTTACAGAAAAAATATTTTATTGATGCAAGCTTCATTTAACTAGTGTGGGGTCCACTGATATATGTATGTATTGGAAATATTACCCAAAAAGTAGTAAAAATAATCCTAATCTTTTCGCCCTTTTTCTACTACCCCAAAATGCATGGCTGCAATTGGCATGCAGAAAGAGTGAGGTTATGTAAGTGACATCACCTTATATTTATTTCACCATGAGTTTTTATAATAACGAAAGAAAAATATAAAAAATAACATTACAAAACAAATAATCATTCTAGAATCTATTCACTTATTTATGCTAGTAAAAATTTCAAACTTTTTCTTTTAAACATTCTGAGTATGCAGTTTTTTAGCCTATTCAATTTTATTTTAATGGAGTGGAAATTTTAAGTAACTAGGACTTACTATTGATTTTCGTAAATGTTTTTTGTGGAAGGTGTTGCGGATTTTCTCCATACAAACATTTTTTTTCGAATATACTTTGTTTGGAAGAAAATGCGTGAACAAAAAATTATCAAAAATCATCACTTACTGAACAGAATGCAGTACCAGAGCCATTCGCTAGCTACATCCGAAAAAATACACCATAATCACAGCTACATATTGTGGGCAGTTTAGTGCATTTACACTAAACAGCATTTACACTTGACAGCTCTTGCTACATACCACAGCCTCACCATTCTGGTTCGGCAGTTACCTAGCTACTTCAAACTTGTACTTTATTGTACTAAAATTTAAAAATCTGCTTACTCAAAAAAATTTTAAAAAATCTGACTAAACAGTTTATAATTTTGATTAACATTTGTTAAAATTGCGGAAAAAGTAAAAAGAATCGGCCAAAAACGGCCATGCCGATGCCGTTTAATCGGTCGGACTCTACTTTAAAGCATTTTCTTTTGTGTTTTCCATTTGCGAAAGTGTCAAAAGCAAAGCAAGAAACTTGAAACCACTTGACGGTACAGACGGATATGTTCTTTTTTCTTCTCAACCCCTCTCTTACACTAGAAAGTAGAATTAAATTCATTACTTGAACCGCGTAAAATCCGGTAGTAGGTAAAAAAATAGTGATGTGTAAGCAAATCAAAGTAGCCAAATTCCCATTTCCAAAAATTTAAAAATTTATACTAGGTAGTACATATAATATAAACAATTAGGGAGTTCACAAGTCGTGCTATTTGTCATATTTGCTCTTTTATACTATTTTTTTAGAAAAGTTTTAAAAGTGTTGTTTTTGCTTTACAAGTAAAATTGTTGTATTACAATACAACTTGGAAAAATATGTTTACTTTGCTATTTGTGAGTGCTATTGGATCAGACATTTCTATTTATTTACATTTTTCCTTGTTTGAGTACAATAAAATATTCAAATTTTAAATAAAAAAATGGAGTCATATCATGGCAATGGAGTAAGTTATCTTTAATTTATTACATATTTAACTTATTAAAGATCTTTTTTAATTCAGTGCAAAACTAAGCGTGTCCGGGGAAAACCAATCCATATGTGGACAGTGTCGGAAGAGAAGTCCCTAATTGATTTTCTTTTAGAAAACCGCCTATTTGAGGTTGTAACACATTCAGATCCAAATTGTTTGCTTTCGGAACTCCTAGATGGACACTTCGGCGATTTGCCAACAACACAGGCATATTCAACCTAAAAGTTTCATCGATCTCTTCCTCCTCATCTTCATCGCCTAACAAAAATGCACCAAATAAATTTAAAAAACTAATAAATGACTTATTTGACGACTCACTTCCTTCCATCATTGCGTCCTGCGCGTACTTCTCGCAAATCGCAGCCATTAATTTGATTTTCTCGCTTCTTCTGGGCATTATAAACTTTCTAAAGCTGTTTTAATAATTTTATTGTTAAAATATTGTACAATAGCACACGAAAAAGTATGGGATGCTCACAAGTTTCATTTTACAACTGTTCTAAAAAAATAGTACAAACGAGCAAATATGACAAATAGCACGACTTGTGAACTCCCTAAATATATATATTTCCTCAAACGATGGCCAACGACCATTCGATAGTGCAATAATAAAATTATAGTTTAAAAAACTAAAACCTCGCTATTAAAATTTCTATTCGTACTGTCATCAGGTATGTAACTTGAGAATAGAAATCGCTGCATCTTTTAGGCGCATCAATATTACATAGTTACATCCCGAGCTAATAAAAGGGAGGCAAAAAAAATATAACCATTCGATAGTATCCACGGTGGAGATAATACAGAAGGTGACGCCGATGGCAATACCGTTAATCGGCTCTCAGTGAATTTGACAGAATCAGCTGTTTTGCTGACGTCACAGTAGAGATGACAGCAGTTTATTTACTTACTATTGTTGGTAAATATCCTTGTGTGTGTGCAATCAGCAAGTAAAGAAATTTCAAGCGTTTTATTGAATACTTTAATATTTCCACCAATTTGTTTTAAATAGTAATGTGCGCAGTAAAAACGTGTGCTAGTGATAATAGCACTACTACAAAGATTTCCAGGTTGCAAGGTGTAATATGAATCATAACAGCCTTCGGCATAAGTAAGCTATTTCTGGTTTACAAGCCGATTTCAACGAAAGAAACTCTTCATTCTCATAGCTGCGTGTTTGACATAGCACTGCGTACATGGAGGCATTAATAAGATCACCGTTCAAACTAATATCTACCTTAGATGTACTAGTTTTGACGCCTGTGGCCCGCAAATCATACCAAACGTGAACATGCTCCTTGCGCAATGTGTGCATTGACTAAAATTAGGTTCCAGTGATTACTTCAACATCTCTAAATACAACCGATTGTGTTGATGAACTGCAAAGGGGATACTTATATATTACAAGCACTGGCTGAGTGCGCAAACTTACTAAATTATACTTACCATAATTGGATTTTATGTGTAGTGGGTGTTTGATGATATATCTGTGGANACTAAATTATACTTACCATAATTGGATTTTATGTGTAGTGGGTGTTTGATATAATATCAGTTCCACTTCCTCTACAAAGCTATTTTAAAAATATTGGAATATAGTTGAACAGAAAAAGTATGCAAATATGTGCATACGTATGCATATTTTGCTACTAATGAATGCCCTTCTGCAATGCTAACCTGTGCACAACACCAGACAGTTACTCAAACAGCTACTGAGACAACCGGGTGAAAGTGCTTAGGCAACTGCATAGAACGACCGGATTTCATATTCAAGGAGGCATGAACAAGACTTCTCCACCTCGCCGTTCGTTTTATAGACAAAAACGCTGAGGAACTCGTCAATCGGATCCATTTTTTATGACATATGCAAACACAATTGTAAACGCTGTTTTTGCCACAAAATAGTATACCTACCAGAATATATTAACTGACTCTTACATTTCTGCGTCCATTTTTAATTCCACCATGAAATATTTGATTTAATTAAATATATATTCTTTTTCGTATCAAAAGCCACGCAACTTGCACATTTTTCTGAACTAACTTAAAACTTGTTTACAAATATTGGACATTTGGACAGCTTGTTCTCGCCGCTCTCAGTTGTCAACTCTACGATGACGTCAGGCTAAAATTACTCTCCTGAATTCTACTGCAATCGGCGCAATCTTGTATTCTATCATTCTTGGATAGTATCGATAGTTTTACAGCTCTAGACTCTAGACTGCAGTCTTTGTTGTCTGTTCAAAATGGAATTACACGCTGTTTCCCAACATGCCTTCATCATCATATTAAAAAGCAAGATCTTGGTATCTAGCTTTAATTTAGATTTGTGTCCTATTACCCATCGAAGGCTTGCTTATTTCAGTTTCGCTTGAGAAATTTTGTTTTCCATATGCTTTTTCCAGGTAACTTCTATCTAGTGTCATGCCAAGATACGTGACACTATCTTTTTATTGCCTTGCTGTTTATTTTTAGTGGTGGACAAGTTCCTTTTTTCAAAGTCAATGTTGTTTGAATACTCTTGCTCTCGTTAACATTTCTCCTTTAAAAACCCAGCCATAGCTCCAACTTTTTAAAAAATCCTTGCAGCTTGTGAGAAGCCTTTTTAGGGTCTGAACTATTGCTGTGTCGTCAGCAAGCGTTGAAATGTTTAGGCACGGTGCACATTAGAGCGATACGATATGCGATACGATACGCGATGCGATATGAAATGCGCGCAGTGCACATTAGAGCGACGCGATACGCGATACCATTTTGTGATAGCTACACAAACATTTGTGCCCTTATAAGCTTGTAAATGAGTTGCATCTCAACCGAGTTTCGACCTTTCGAATGATGGGTCTATATTTATATCTATAAACTTAAAAAAAATTTAAGAGAAAAGTATGTTTAATATCGGGTAAAACTGATGTTTATTTATACAAAGTCAGCTAAAAATTAAATGAGATATTTAAATTTTCATTTCAAATTATCTCATAATATTGCGTTCACTACAAGGAGAAATCGGTGAAAGCTGAATTAAAAAAAGGTTAAGCAAAAATTTTTGAGTTATATAGCCAAAAATATTATTTTTCTCATGAAAGGTTGAATAACTTAGTCAGATTTCCCCCGATTTTTTAAAGTAAAAATCACTATATATCAAATGTTAATATTGCATCAAATCAGGTAGTATAGTTGCTTTACAAAATATTGCGTGAAAACTTTGCCAAATTTGAAAAAAAGGCGAAAAATTAACACAAAAAATACACACAGATCTCTTAAGTTTTCTAAAAGTTTATATACATATATCATTCGAAAGGCCTAAACTCGGTTTATAGTAAACTGAGTTACAAGCTTATAAGTACGGAAAACCAGTTTTTAACAGTAAATCAAGATTGTGTGGGTGTTTGACAAAAATTTCGTATCTCGATTCTTACTTCACTCGGCAAAACTTACCTGAAAAATAACATGACCTACCAGGTATTTTTACTTCATTATTTTTTTGTAGCATTGTGTAATAGAGCACAGAAATTTGTACCTACTTTCTCTCTTTAATTTAAAAACTCCTTAAATATAAGAAAATAACACTCAAGAAAAAACATATATTTAAAAATATAACGAATAATCAAAAATAAATACCTATATACATACATAATTTTTTAGTATTTGTTATTATTTCTGATTTCTTCTTTTATTGGTAAATGAGATGATTATTTCTTAATTGTTTCTAATTACACTGATTACTAATTATTTGAATATTTGAAACAAAATAGTTAAGCATTAATATTTAAACAAACACTAAATCTTTGTTGGTATTCAAAAGCAAAAATAAATCGATTTAAAATTATTGGATTCTTTAAATTTTTTTTTAAGATGTGAAAACAAGGTG